AAATTCTTTGCCGTGTACCAAGAGTGGAACATTGTCTCTACGCGGACTATGTATACATTTTTACAAAAGAAAAAGACAACACGAAAGCAAACAACATCCTCGAATCTATTGCATGTGAGATCTCCACATGGGCAAACTCGTCAGGAGCTAAAATTTCTATACAAAAATCAAAAAAAATTGTTTTCGACAAATGTGCGATGCAGGAAATCTACTGATGCTAATTAACAACTTACCAGTACTAAATGTGCAGACGCTCCATGTTCTCGGGCTCACGTTTTCCAACAATTATCGTTGGAAAGCACACTGTTTTCGGTTAAAAAACTCCCTTTTAACTAGGGTAAATTTCATACAGTACGTTGCTTGGAGAAGCCATGCGCATATTAACACTATTGCTTATCTTACCAAAATGCTTGTGTTAAGCAAGATTGATTATGCTTTGATAATTTATGGCAATAGCTGCAAATCTAGTATCAACATCCTTAAACGGGTCTATCACCAAGCCGTCAGAGCAAGTTGTTATGCTTTTCGGACGACGCCCATAAATAATATCATAATTGAAACTGGTCTCCCAACTTTACAAAATAGACCTTATAAGTTAAAAGCTAAAATAGTCCCCAAGCTCCTTAAATCAAACAAATCTATTCTCGGTGATGACGTGAGAAAGATTATTATTGCGAAGAAAATTCCAAAGTCACCATCTGCAATTGACCATTATTTGTACGTCGCAAAGGAATTGAAAATTCCCTTAAAAATTATCCGCTCTTTTGGTGTTAAACCTCCATGGATTTTGAAATACTGTTCTTTTGACATCTCGCTGTCTATGCACAAGAAAGAAGATACTCCAAATTACGTCTTCAGGAATCTAATAGCTGAGAAAACCCAAGTATTGGACAATACTGGTTGGAATCTTTTGTACACAGACGGCTCAAAATCTCCTGGTCTGCCTCCTGCTTGTGCGGTGGTAGATGCTACAGGACGGGTTCTTCTCAATCACATATTTCACGAAAGTGCATCAACGTTCACAACCGAAGCCAAAGCTATCCTTCACGCTGCCAATCTTGCCCATAAGAGCAAACTCAAAACCGTCATTGTTACCGACAGTTTGTCTGTATTACAAGCTATTCGGAACCCTTCGACTCCGAGATGGAGCACCATCAACAAATTAAGGAATATAATTACTACACCCGACGGAAAATGTTATGGGTACCAAGTCACATCGGTTTATTGGGAAATGAGCAGGCTGATCGAGCAGGAAAGGATGCTGCTTCTGCTCCTCTTGTTGTGGATGATGTCATGAAAAAGTTGGATCTTCAAAGTTATATTGGAAGAAAAGTTAAAGAGAAAATTGCAGAAGAAAATTTACAGTACCATCATCAACACTGCTCTTCTATTAACCCTCAATTAACTCCACCTTTATATCCAACAAATGTTGAGGAAACCAAGATCCAAACATTTTCGATAATTCGCCTTGGTCATAAAATTGCAACTCACCAATGGATCTTGAAGAAGTCTTCCTCCCCAATCTCCAGTTGTGGATACACCCTCACCATAAAGCACATTCTCTGCGACTGCCTTAACTTTTGCTTGGCTAGAAGTATTGCATTTGGAACGACTAACCCTTTGGACATTCTACAATCAGCTTCAGAACAGAATATCAATTCAATATATTATTTTTTTAATACTACTAGGCTCATTATTTAATATCCATTTATTTAAATTAAAGCCGATAGCCTGTGTTGCTAGTGCTCGATGTCTTTTTTTAGTCTAAGAATTTATTTCATTAGTCTAAAATTATAATAATAATAATAATAACAATACTAGAATGTAAAGAATGACGCTTAAATAAGTAGTCAGTGGATGCCGCTGAGGAGGAGTATGAAGAGGGTGAGCGCATGAGTGAAGGTAGGGGGGTAGGCGGACAGGACAAAGGGACTGAGACAGGACCAACGAACGTCGAACAGGGCGAATCACAGACCGACTTACGAATGACGTTTAATTAAAGTAAAAATACATATTAGGTTTATTTATATTTCATTTTTTTTTTCTTTTCATCGTCATGCGGTACGGTGGAGAGAGAAGAAAAAGAGCAACTGTTCTACCGCAACGAGCAAGGCTGCGTGACAAAGTGACGTGGCTGGAAATTTTTATCAATATGCTCTTTAGCTTCTTAAAGGTTTCAAAAGCATCCAGAAACCAAAACGCAACACACAGCTGTTACGAACAAGTACATAGACCTGAATCCCACCTATATTTAATACTTGTTGCTTGGTTCTATCGAATTGTTACGGAAACCCCAATCAAGTTTCATTCCAAGTAATTCCCAGATATTTTCAGAACATAAATTTCCGAACCAAAGAAAAACCAAATGCAAATTCATGGCGCGTCATGCAGCTGCCGGCCGACCAAAGAGATTAGCGGAAAACACATCAATTGTGGTAACTTGCTAATATAAATAGGATATTTAAACAGAATTAGTTAGTCGGGAAAGAAAATTTGAGAACAGAAAGAGTCACTTAAGAATGTTGTCAAACCAAGTAAGTATATTGTAAATAATCCTACCCTTAAAGAAATTGGTTGTAAATCAAACCACGATGTAATGATACGAACACCAATAAATTTGTAATGTATTTATTATGCATGAACTTTTCCAGAATTATATTCACTTACGTAGAAGCTTTAAGCCTTAAGCGAAACTTAACAATTATTGTTAGTGCACTGTAACCAAACAAAAAAAAAACTACACAAAGCCAAAGATTTTACATCAAAATATCTCGCTTTAAAAAGCATCTTCGTCTTAAGTTAATTAAATCCTTTGATGTGAGTATTATGCTACGACAGATATCCATGTCATTTTCTGAGAAGGGAGACCGTATAAAATGTTGCCAACAAGAACGTTTCATGGATCTTGTACACATCCTTAATGTTCAGCAGAAGGAGTGTAAGAAAAGAAAAACAAATTATAGCTTCTGGATATAATTTTCCTCACCTGGCTGTTTATTTGCACCTAATGTTATTTTGATTGGTCTTAGTTTAGAATCTTTTATAACTTTTGCAGCAGCTGTGGCTACTACTTTATTGGTTGTTTTACAAATCTGGAATTCAATTTTTCTCTTAATCATTATAAAATTCATAAATCTCTTTTTGTTATACTAAAACTGAAAAAATTTTATGCACTTCGCAATTTATTTCATCTCAGAGAAAAAGCTGTTATTTTTAAAATACATATATGTGAACTTTTGTCTCCATCGCGATATACGATTAACGCCATGTTTTGGCTTATAAATGAAACTCTACAAAAGATTTTCGTGGTAACTCTTTTTGAAAATATGTACTTTTTTAGCAAACGTCAAAAATTTGACAATAATATATATATTCCTATAACTCGACAGATTTGGGAGAATATATTCAACATCTGTGACGCATACAGAATAACAGAAACGAGTCATCGAACGTTGAATGCTGTTTCAAACGTGAAGAAAAATTGCACGAAAAATAAGTGCGAAGAAGAAACTTTGTCATTAGAGATTATTGCGTGAATTATCCCGCGATAGATCGCACACAGCAGTCAGATAGGAGATGCTCGAAGAAACTCTGTTAGAACAAATCGACGAAGAATCCAGACTTTTGCAAAATCAAGAAAATGAAAATAAACAAGACGAAGAAGAGCAGGAAACAAATGATAACTTCAGACAAGCCATAGTAGTGTATCCAAAAAATGCTAACTAACAGAAAGAACAACCGCAATGCAGATAATGTATTATTATCATTATTATTATTAATTTCGCCAGAGAAATAAATTCTAAGACTAAACTCTTAAAAGCACCAGCGCCTAAGGCTATCGGCTTTTATTAAAAACTCTGTAACGGGTTTTCTTGGGCGGGGTATAACTTAGCCACTCCACTTCGGTACTGATGTTCAATGTCTTTATTTTGTATTCACAGGAGTGCAGCGTTGTGTAGAGGTTGGCGAGGAAAAGGAACCAGCGAGGTGACCCAACTTGTCGCGCTATTACCGTTTTGCTTAGAACTTTCTCTTCCTTTTCGTTTCGCTCTTAATATCGCGGGACGCTAAAAGAACAGAACCGGATACGTTGCCAGTGTCATAGCTGCCGACGGTGTGTCTCCCGTTCCGCTACTCGTCGATTAATACAAAGACAAAATGTTCCTCCGTTCTTCGGGGATGACGACTAACAGCTAGCCAGTACATCCCCTATCCGTAGAGTCATTTGTCCTAAAAGTCTTTCAGAGATGACGACCAACACCTAGCCAGTACATCCCCTATCCGTAGAGTCATTTGTCCTAAAAGTCTTTCAAAGATGACGACTAACAGCTAGCCAGTGCATCCCCTATCCGTAGAGTCATTTGCCCTAAAAGTCTTTCAGAGATGACGACTAACAGCTAGCCAGTACATCCCCTATCCGTAGAGTCAAAAAAAAAGACTTGTCGCATTGTCCGTACCCACTTACCTTCAGGCAGCTATAACACCAAAATGAAAGAGTCTGTGCGATGTGCTGCTCTTTTATAGTTGAAGTCTCGCTCGCTTGTCCTATTGCCAACATGTAGTTTGGTTATATGGTGCTCGTTAAATTTTATGAAATTGGGCCTAAAAAATACAAAAAGGTTTCTTGTTAAGAGGGAAGTCACCCAATAATGAATATTTCACTGACTAACACACGTTGATTCGTTCATCGATTTATTGGGTGCTATTCGATCAAAGATAACCTATTAATTTGCGCATTATGGTCTATTTAAGCAAAGCTAAATCTGCGCGTTTCATTAGGAGGTAGCCCAAAGAGCTGAAAGTTGCTTACATTACAAAAAACCTTCACATGTTCTTCGTTAGACCAATTGTTAAATATACCTCGTTTGTGTGGTCTCCGCCCTGTAGGTGTCATGTGGATTGTAGATGTAAAAAATTGGATCATTTCAAAAGCAATTGTTGTTGGTTGCCCTTAGGTTTTTGGATGGCGACTTGTCTCTTTGCCACTTGAGAAACGTAGATTTATTCTTGTTGTCTCCTTCTTAATTAAGTTAATTAATGATACTATCGATTCGTCCGTATTACTTGATAAGATAAGCTTTTCTTGGCATTTTATTAAACTGGGTCAATGTTAATATAGTTATGAGCTGTTTAACCCATTTAGAGTTATTGGCAGAAACCTGAATGATGTCTATCACGCACAATTTGCCTGTGCCATATTTAAACTAACTTGTAACCTTAACAATTCATTATGATTAGAAAACTAAATGGTGTTGTCGTGTTGTTTTCTGTATCGGTTGCCAAGCTTACGAGTTTTTAAGTTTCAAAACAACAATAACTAAGGCTAATGTAAAAAAATTGTTTTCTCAGCAAAAGAATATTAAATTCACTAAATGTGTTTCTTATATAATTGAATTGATTGTTTCTGAATATTTGTTTAGTAAGTCGAATTGTTCACCATCTTGTTCCAGTTTTCTTTCTATAAGTTTCTTATATCTTCTGTTTTTATAGTAATACACTGTTTTTTGTTCACTGCTGACATGACTGTTTTTATCCGTAAAGCAAGAACTTTGCATTGTTTACGTATGTTCTTTGTATATACGTAGCTATATATCTGTGTACAAATATGTAGGATTACGTCGATTCTGTACAGGAATCGAATTCTACGAATTCTATATCAGATGCAAAACAAACACCTTTAATATTTGTCAACATTGAAGTACTTTCAACTTTCAATTTTTTTAGATATTACGATCACCTCGTCTTCTCATCTGGTTTATCTCTTTGTAGAAGGATGAAGAAGAGAGCTCCAGTCACCTATTCCATTTAGCCTTTAATATTAAATTGAAGTCGTTTTCGCGCAGATGAGGAATGTCTAAGAACAATTTTTACAAAAATTTAGCTGTAGCGCTTCTGTTTTATTGTTAAATATTCTTTATTTATTCATAACTTAAGGCGGCAAAAATTTATTAATTTTCTTCCTCGTCTTCATCTTTTTTGTCCGGAATTTTTTCCAGGCCCTGAAACATTGATGAAATTGAAAATAAAAATAGAGTGAATGCAAAAAGAAATTTTATTCAAAATTTGAAAACAGCCTAACTAAGGGTTAAATAACATTAAATAACTCTGTGAAATTTCATTCAATTGAAAATTAACTGATTGCCCGATTACAAAATTTATAATGTTCGACATAACTCTGTTTTCTAAAAATATAAGCAACGGTTAGTCTGAATTCGATATTTTTTCTGAAGGTTTTGGAAAATGGTTGTTTACCAAAAAATTATCCTGAATTTACTAGAGCTCGACTTTGGAACATATTGGTGGTACATTTCAGATAATGGTGAGTATAAAAGTTATTGACAAATATATTAATAATTGCTTGACTTTTACTTATAAGTAGTTGTTTTTCCTAAATGATCCGTAATGTAAGAAAGTTTTATTTTCATTCTTTACTAAGGTAGAAACCATCAGAACTATGTCGTTTTTTGATAGATTTTTTCTCATTTAGTTTCATAGTTTTTTTCATCAATCTTGTAGCATTATCGCAACTACATTGTTTTGCCTAAAATCCCAACTAATTTTCATTCTAGACGACAAGAAAAGCTAATTGACAGAGATATTAAAAATAATGAATCTTTTTCTTATTAATTTACTTACGTTCAGTATGTATGGATTGTATGTTAGTCTACGGTCACGTAAATACATAACACGATCGAAACGCTCATCCATGTTACGGCGATAGGGCTGCAAGGAGCAACGAAGATACTTAAATTACTTGAAATATATGCGCTTAAACATACATGGCAAACGATGAAATATAAAAAACTAAAAATTTTTCATTATCATATAAAATTACATAAGATTTAGAAGAGTGGCGGCCAATGGCAAAAGAATAACACTGTGTTTTGGGATACTTACATTGCCTAAAACTAATTTATGTAGACCGTATGTTGCATATATGGGAATAGCCAAAGCCACAGTAATGATGGCAGCCGACGGTAAAATTTCGAACCACATTTTTTCTTATAGCAATTGCCCGTTTTTCTTTACAAAACAACAATTCTTACAGAATAAACAGTATCAGTATTAAAAGCGAGTTTTTTTTTGTCACTATCAATACACAAAGCAGCTGTTTTTCTATTATTATATCAGCGATAGGTTTTTGCAGTTAGCAGCTTTTGCATACATGCGCGATAGCTAATGTCAAGTTTTGATTTTGCTTGTCATGAACAGTTGGCCGCATTAATATTCGTGGAGACTTGATTTACCCTGATTTTAAGATTAATTTAAAATATACCTTCTAGTTCAGTTATTTCGAACAACCGTGAATAATCAAATAATTGTTAGAGCTTTCAGCAGCCGATTGGTACACAGGAATGATTTTTAAAGACACAATGACTGAGGTTCCTTACAATGTTTTCCCCATTAATGCTCTGGTGCCCAAAGCAGAGACGGGCGTTTTAAGTTTTCTCCAAAAGTATCCGGACTATGACGGTCGCGATGTGACCATTGCTATCTTTGATTCAGGCGTTGATCCTCGCGCCGCCGGTTTAGAGGTTAGTTTACTCATAATAATATATTTCTTTTCGTTGTTGAATATGTAAGTGTTTTTAATTTCCAATACCAGACTCTATGCGACGGTAAAAGCGTTAAAGTCATTGAACGTTTTGATTGTACCGGTTGCGGTGACGTTGATGTCAGCAGGAAAGTTACGGCTAACGATAGTGGGTTTATAACCGGGCTATCAGGACGTCACCTGAAGGTAAATAATATATAAGCTAAGTTGAAGGAAGCGTCTTGCAATATTAAAGGAATCGAACTCCTATCTTTTTCTGAGTACCTCTTTTCCATCAGATTGCATATTGCATGACATTTGTTATGTGTTTTCGACTTGTTTATTTTTCCTAGTTATCGTCGCAAATGATATTGAACAACAACACTGCCAATGGGGAATACCACATAGGACTGAAAACATTTTTCGATTTATCCCCTACAAAAGTGCGTGAAAATCAATTGAATGCCGAAAAAACCAGAAAATGGGATAAGCCAAATAAAACAGCCATAGCCGAGATGTCGCGAAAAATCAATGAATTTGATATGCTAAATAATGGTAATTACGCCTTTTTAACAAAAGTGAAATGGGTTTTACATTCACTGTGTGAATAAGGAATCGTTCTAGCAAATGGGAAATGGATTAATAATATGATTCATGGGGATATGGGCTTTAAAACATATTTTTGTTTCTCTAGAATCCGCAAAGTCCTTGCCTTGGGATAAAAAGTTGGAGAAAGAAGACTTAGAGGGTACTCTAGAACTGCTAAACAATTACGAGAAAATTTATAATGATATCAAAACCACGTTTGATTGTATTTTGTATTCGACCAGTAACGGCTGGAGGGCGGTGATTGATATAACTGAAAAGGTTTGGAAAGTGGTAAATCAGAATATATGATAAATATTTGCATGAATAAATTTTCCTCCTAGGGTGATTTAGAACACGCTTTGCATATTGGTGAATACTCCAAAACTCATGAAATCGAGAATGTCAATGATTTTCTTTCTATATCGATGAATGTACATGATGAGGGCAATGTTTTGGAAATCGTTGGAATGTGTAGTAAGTTCGAATTTTTAAAAAAAATTTTGGCTAATTCTTTAAAATTCTTTAGTCTGCTAATCTCTATTAAAATTTTATTAAAGTATTAGTACTAGTGCTGAGCTTCATTGAAATTATTCCCGACCCACGCGAAATCAACTTAAATATGCCTACCAAAACAATGGTTACGATCTGAAAATTTTACTTAGAGATTAAATCCGGTTGTTATTGTTACTTTCATTAATTTACACACAAGAAGCGCTTTTGCGCTCCATTATACTGGAATTATTGGAACTTTCTGTTAACCATCGGAATTTTCTGTTAAACCGTCACACAGTCAGAAAACCCCTTCATTTTCGCTAAAGAAACTCGAAATCTATCAACGTGAAGAAGTTCACAGGAAGAAGAAAGAGAAAAAGTAAACAACCAAAAAACGCATCGACCGATCGATTGAAACCGATATTTCTCTGTAAAAATCAAACTTGTGATAGGAGTTTATTTATAATTAGCAAAGACGTTCTTTAGTGTTCTTATGTAATAATAAACATTCCCTTAAGTTGTTGTCATTTCTCGCGCGGACATCAGGGTTATCATTTCTTACATATAATGCCCATTTTTTATATGACTCGATATACATATTTTATATTATAAGTTACAGTGTTTACAACAAAATAGGTATGCTTTTTTGCATTACGAGAACTAAATAAGAAAAAGCAGGTGCAATGAGCAAATGCTGGACGATGAAGAATTTAATCTAATTCAAAATTAATTTCTTTACCGAGTTGGCTTTTTTGTCCCAATTTTTCGTTTCCTTTTTCAGCTTCTCATGGTACTCACGTCGCCTCCATTGCCAGCGGCAATCAAGCTTCCAAAGATTTGAATGGTATAGCTCCAAATGCAAAAATTGTTTCTTTAACTATAGGAGATGGCCGTTTAGGTTCGATGGAAACTGGTACAGGTTTAGTGCGAGCGATAATGAAGGTTATGGAATTATGTCGAGATGGTCGGAAGATCGATGTTATTAATATGAGTTATGGTGAACATTCTCATTGGTCGAATGTGGGGTTAGTAATACAAAAATATTTTTTAATAGTTTATCAAATGTTTGAAATTTCCTTTTGGACTTTTGTTACTGTAAACCGAAAAATCTTCAGCTCTAGCGATGAATGCGAAGGTAAAAAACGCCGTAAGAAACAAAACCAATACATGAGGTAATTTTTTATTCTTTTGACTTGTTAATTTTTTTTTTTTGGTTTATGGAACACTCCCCTAAAACTTTTGCACGTTAATAAAAAGGAAATTTCAAAGTCGTTAACTATATTGTTTCTGCGCATAAATTAAGGAAATCATTATTTAATGCTTGTCTTCATTAATTTTAGTCGGATTGGTGAACTTATGAGCGAAGTGGTTAATAAATATGGAGTTGTTTGGGTGGCTTCGGCTGGTAACCATGGACCAGCCTTATCAACTATCGGGACACCACCGGATATACCTATACCCAGTTGTATTGGTGTAGGTGCCTACGTTTCACCTCAAATGATGGAAGCTGAATATACCATGCGTGAGAAGTTGCCCGCGAACGTGTATACTTGGACTTCACGTGATCCTTGCATCGATGGAGGCCAAGGTGTAACGGTATGTGCTCCCGGGGGGGCCATAACATCTGTACCTCAATTTACTATGACCAAATCCCAACTTATGAACGGTACCAGTATGGCAGCTCCTCATGTTGCCGGAGCTGTAGGTAGGTATTTGAATTTTTTACGTAGAACATAGCACTTAGAATAGCTTTAATTTAAAGTTTCTCAGTTTTTATGCATTGTGCATGTTTATCGTAATAAATTTAGTTTTGAGAATTTCAAGCTTTTTGCATTAAACGTAATTAGAATAGTTTTAATTTAACACAAGAATAACCGATGGGGTTAATTTGACCTGTCTTCAACGACTTTCACATTTTTTGGACTTTTGTTTATATGAAAAGAGTTTTAAATACCTATAGTCAGTTTTTTTCTTTCTCGACGACATATCGTCCTATTCCTATTTCCACCAAAATGGGTCAATTTGCAACAATGCTTGTGGAATCTCTCCACAGTCGTAAACGTGACAACAGGGAGCAGAAATTTGGCACATATATATTCCTTGATCGCTTAACAGTTCAAAGTAAAAAAAATGGGAAAAGATGGCCAGCTGATCTCGCAGTACCCGAAAAGAGCGCAAAAAAACTGTCAGTTTTTTTATATTTTATATATTTTTTCTCCCATAAAAATATTTCTAAAAAGTGTCATTGTCGGCATTTTCAGTACAAAAATACTATTGTTTACTAATACGCCCACAATCAATGATAAAATTTTCATTACTTTGCAGGTGATTCTGGTAAATATCCGAAATATCTTTACAAAGTTGAAAGTTAAAAGCGAGAATAAAAAAAAAATTGTCGGTGCTTTCGAGGTTGTTCTATCTATAACGGTTCTATCTATGACGGGCGTGTATGTGGGCAGGTCGCAGATATTTTTTTTAGCCAAGTGTTATTGCCTGATGATATCACTTTATATTTGTGCCACTTATCAGCTTTCTAGCTTCGCTTTTGCGACAATGGGTCAAATTAATTCGTCTTGGTAGAATAAGGTGTCGACAGAACGACGGTAGCTCTGAAGTGGCTTCAACTTTCTTGCATTACAAGAATAACTATTTTATAGAAGTATAAATTTTTCTGAAAAATCATGGCACTACTTTAATTTAAAAAAATTGATTTAGTAATATTATCTGGCCATCTATTGAAGTCATGACCACTCCCGTAAAATTGAGTAGAGCTTTTATATTGATGTCATTTTACATTTCTCAGAGTAAATTAAAAAATTTTTTAAAGCGCTCTTTCACAAACATGTAATGGAACGTATAAAAAATAATTTTTTAATGATAAAAAAGCAAAACAGTCGTTCAGCAAATGATTCAGTCTAAGGTGTACATAACTGGCATTCTGTTTTTCTTTTAGCTTTGATAATTTCTGGCTTGAAACAACGTCAAATTTCTTACTCCCCGTTCAGTATAAAACGTGCCATTTGTGCAACAGCAACAAAACTCAATTATGTAGATGTATTCGCTCAGGGAAGTGGTCTGCTGAATGTCGAAAAGACCTTTGAACATTTAGCACAGTTTGGTAAGCATTTGGATAATATGGTTCGGTAAGAAATCTAAAGAACTACTTTTTGGAAATACTTCTTAGTTTATTTGTAAACTTAACTTTAAGATTTTCTGTACGTTGCGGCATCAGCAATACTAAAGGCATTTACATACGCCAAAGGTTCTTGAAAAAACCTTTCGAATATTCTGTGAATATAGAGCCCGTGTTTTTTAATCACACCGAAACTGGTAAGTAGAACTTTTCAAAACGTAAAAAGGCGCCAAATTCTTTTTCCACTACTTCCCTTTCAAACATTTAATATCATAATCGTTAGGGTTGGGATAAGCCTGACTATTTAATGATTCATTGCTATATAGATCATTTGAAGAAGATCCACGATCTTCTAACGGAAGTTGGTAGTGACGGACGTTAGTGTCTCTTTCTCTCATGTCGATCTTTCATTGATGCTACATACAATTAAAATTTTCATTTTAGATCGTTGCTTACAATATATCTGCTACATTAACTTAATTAATAACATGCGTGCTTGCGGCTTATAACTTAATTTCTTTTACCTACATTTATGTGTATTAAATTTGTGCCACTATTGAGATTTTTGTATTTAATGATATTTAATTATATATTACAAAGTGTGTATTATAAATTCTCTGTATTTGGCAGCTGATTTGTAATGATTTCAGGTCAATGCTACTTTTCGAGCACGAAAGTAAGATTTAATATTCTGAAATTTATTGAAAAAGCATTCTTTACACATGTTTGCCTTTTGCTGAAGTATTTGAAAAATAGTATTAGAAACATGCAACAATACTTCTTTTATCGTATTTCTACAAATTGCAGCTTTCCAGCCGATTGGAGGTTAAAAAAGCTTTTAAAGGGCGATACAAATTTATCGTTGAAATATAGCGTCAATTGGTTGATGATTGAAAGTGATCAATCAGAAAAGCATAGTTTTGAGAAAGTAGCCTTACTGTTTAAATATTGCTAAGACTTTCATGAATGGTTGAGTTAAGATCTTACTTTGTTAACCCTCTTTAGACGTTACAAATGTAATGTCTCTCTCTATCTATGGCACTCCCTATCTCATTCCCTCCACTTCCTTCCAGAGATCACTATAATTCATATGTAGGGCACAAAAATATAAGCTAGCACATTTAACATTAACCAAGAATATCTATATAGTTTTATATGTGTACTTCCAAGCAGCATTAAGCCCGAAAATAGAAAGAAAGTAACAGGAAGCAGGCGCTTGGAGTCTTTGATTTCGTTGAGTCGCATAAAAATAAATTGAGTCTAATAAATATTTCCACCAAATAGGTAAAAAAACTACATATTTTATAAATTCTTTAATGTGGAATAACAAATGTAAAAAAAGTCTTGTATCTTAAAGTTTGATCTGAATCACTCGAATACGGTAATGCAAACAAGTTTTAACAAACCGAAAGAAAGCGTGTGAGCCGGCGTGCTTATAGAAGAATTTAATGTGTGATACACCCAAAGTACGATTGTATTTTGTAATAAAAATAGTAAAGTCTACACTTATTCAATATCATACGCCTTTTGCAAAGTAAACTCAATGTAAAATTGTATTCGGTCACACACTTTTTTATAGAATTCATTACAGAGAGTTAACGCAAATGTGCGTGGTATTCTGCGACATCCATCATCTGTATTCTTATGTCTTCTATATTTATGTTTTACATCCTACACAATACAAGCCTAGAAGTTATGTTCCGCATTGCGTGAATTCCTAATACGCGGACATGAGAGAGCTTAACTAATTTCTGCTTTAAGTTTCATTAATTGATTTCAACGAAAATGACAATATACTAATCGCCGTCATCACGATTGTAACATGTAGAGTAGCAGTGGTGACCTCACAATATATCTGTATATTCTTAATGAGTAAAACTTTTTGAACCATATAATTAGTATCCGCCCACATAACGCTAACTTTCTCAGTAGGCCCAAGTAGAATTAAAAGTTGGATTCTAATTATTGGTCGCAATCTGCAGAGGAGATTTAAAAGGGAGCGTAATCCAATCTCAAAATAAATGAAATCTAACTTAAAAGCCTGCCAGTGTTAAATATGGACGCTCCATTCTATTTCTACACCAATGAGACAATAAAAATAAAGCTGACTCAACAGAAGGAAACATTCGAAATTTCATCATTACATGCTTAGACAGCTGCGATCTAATTAAAACTGTTTGAGCACGATCGACAAGATAAGACCGAAACCAAATTACAGGCCCGGTACTAAAACCAATTAGTTACTCATGACTAACTTTATCTCCTAAGGCCAGTATAAGTAGCATCTGTGTGCATGTCACTACTGAATGAGTCAAAGACGTGGCAAGCAAATTCTAAGAGATTAGTAGCAGTGAATTTGCCATTCACGAAGTCATGCTAGCATGATGGGACAACTCACTTAACCGTTTGAGTACCAAGCAGCGCGATCAGATTTCATGTCGAAAAATACCAGACAGTTTTGAAAAAAAAACTGTCGAAGAATCCCAGACAGCGCAATCGCGCTGTTTAGATTTTATGTCGAGAAATACCAGGCAGTTTTGATAAAAAACTGTCGAAGAATCCCAAGCAGCGCGATCGCGCTGTTTAGGTTTTATGTCGAGAAATACCAAGCGGCACCATAGCGCTTGTTTAAGTTTATGTATTTAAATGCATTTAAATTGTCTGTTAATAAATATTTCAAGTTTGTTCCACAAAAATTATAGAAAACACAACACCAAAATAGAAATTTTTATTTTGTAATATACTATTGCAATTGTATTGCGCTCGACTTCGACAATACGTAAGGCACCGTCAGTTGTCGACAATGCTTGAAATGTGCTGGGTTTTCTCGATATAAAATCTAAACAGCGCGATCGCGCTGTCTGGGATTCTTCGACAGTGTTTTTTCCAAACCGTCTGGTAATCAAACGGTTAATATGGTTGACTAATCTCTTTATAACAAGTTTTTCCAATAATTTAGGCAAAGCGGATAGTTTCATCATGGCGCTGTAATTCTCAATTGGCAAGCTTGAAATTACTAGGCAATGTTCTTTATGGCGTCGGTATTGTTTGCGTTACCAGGTGCACGTTAGTTCATTTTGAATTCAACCACGTTTTATAAACATTTAGGCTTGCATTGTTTCATAAATGTGTTTTTATTATATTGTTCTGATTTGCGCCAATTACTTAATGAAAAATCAACAATTATCATTTAGCAGCCAAAATTAGGGAAATATTTTGATATTTAATTTACAGGGAGTCTCATTGATATTATATATTTTCTCGACAAAAGTAAACGCTTGCTAAATCCTGTGCATTGTCCAAACATGAACATTTTTTTACTATTAATGTTTTCCAGTAGGGAAGAAAGTTAAACAATTTTAAGAGCCCAAAAATATAGCGTCCTTAATATTGGATTTTCTTCGATATAAGGAAGAATGCGAAGATAGAAAAGAGCATATTTTAAAAAATTAATATTCGGTAAGATATCCTTTTTGCTTAGTAACGTCAATTAATCGTTTTGACATAGAACTAAGAAATTATCAGGAAATTGAGTTTTAAAAGCACTGAAGGCCCACTAAAACTTTCGTGGCCACTTTGAATACATATTTATGTGCTATTTGCCTGGTGTTCATTTGGTATATACATTAAGCTGTTTTTATTAGAAGTGGAAAAATATCCCGCGCCTCCAGGTAAAATAGTTTAATGCGCTTACTTTGCAATTGTTTTATTCTTTCTTACGTTTTATCGTCGGTTTTCATGTCCTTATTTAGAACATCTTATAATGTGTGTACATTTAAAAACTATTATTTTAAATATTTTAAAGTTCACTCATGCTCCTTGTGTTTGGTTTTTTCTGTTATTGTTTGTTTGTTTTCCCCGCAGCGCCGAAAGATAAATTAAACTTTAATGTTCGGTTAAACTTGGTGCCATCTCAACCGTACGTACAATGCGGCGCTTTTTTGGATCTCAACTATTGTACGCGTTCTTTGGTAGTTAAAGTGGATCCTTCGGGTTTGTCTCCCGGTGTGCACACCGCTGTGTAAGTTGTAAATTTTTGTTACTTTTACAAATAAGAAGAAAGTAGTTCAAAATTTAGTTGTATACGGCACTTGCGAGTAGTAGAAATATGTAAGTTAAAATAAAAAGGAAGTAGAAACAATAAAATAAAAAGAAAACTATAGTCATTGAATCTTGATTTTTGGTTTCAAGTAATTTTCGTCTCTATGAGCATTTAATAAAATTGACTCGGAACTTGCACACCACCCATGCGCGTTTATAGGCATTTCGAAATTCAGAATATACGTAAGAAAGAGATGAATCATCATGATTGAAGGAAAATTCGTAATTAAATGCTGCCGCAGTTAACCAATATGTTTGAGGGATGGACTTTCAATGCTAACTTCAATTCACTAAGGCAGTAATGTATACTTTACCAATCATTTTTGCACAGAAAAAAGAGAGCAAAGGTATTTTAGTGGTTACGGTGCTCTAGTCATATTTTTTAAAATTTACAAAGCCTTGCAGTATACGTTAATATAAAAAAGATAATCAATAAATGTTAAATAACGAGTAAGAACCCATCGTACTTTCCAAACCTTTTGAGGACATTTGCTAAGATAAAATTGTGCTAATCTCGTAGGTATTAACAATACTTGCTTGCTATTGCGGCTCCCATTTTTTTCCAAAGTTATTGAGTTTTCTGTATCATCATTTTTCGGGCTTTAACGTAAATGACAAACTTACCGACATTAGGTAAAGTTATTTATAATTTAATTATTTATAGCTTGAATTACACGCATAGCTTGTAAAGTCAGTTAGATATGTTATTATATATATATTATGTAGGTATTTAATGACTTCTTAAAGTATGACGGATAAACTACAAAGTGTTAAGGTATATGGAAGAAATAACTTTACTTTATTTTATCTTAACCGGACCTTATTTGCATATTACCAATTTCAAAATTCCATAGACTGTGCGATTTTAATAACCAATAATGGGTGATTGAATCGTACTAGTTTTATCACTTTACGTTGTTTATACAAAGTCACAAGAAACTTCCAAAAGTCTATTAGCTCGTGAAGAGCAACACATTAATTTTTATTTTATTCACGGTTGTCCGATCGTCAATGTTTCGTCGTATCAATTTTTCCAATAATTTAATAAATTTTCAATAACAACAAACGACGTAAACCTATTGCAAAAAACCCCCGCTTTGTGTTTGTACATTCGCAAAAATGCAGATGAGAAACTGAAACTTAACGCAAGCATTTCTTAATTAATTTAGAATCCAACGTTACAAAATTAAAATGATATGTCCACACGCGCTGTAGGGTTATAAAGCAGAAATGGAAAAATTTTGAAAACACATCAACATCATATATTTTTAAATCACTTTAACACAATATATTTCCTGAAAACTTTTTACCATATAGTCGCCACGACTATATACTTGCGGTTCAAAAGTCATCTCGATCGACTTATTAACAAGCTCAGAGCTAACGGTAGAATAGTTGACTTCGCATAGATATTCCGCTTCACACGTTTGTTGAATGCTCTTTCATGCTGTCGCTCTTTTTGCTGTCATTTGTACAAACGGCACCATTATATGCAATAAAAAAAGGTTTTTATTGGCGTTTTCTTATTGCAATCATATTTATAAAGAAGAAATTTTACCAACACACAGCATACTAACAGGGAACATAAACATTTTATACATATTGTAAGCTATTTCAATGCCACATGAATTTTGTCTTGCATTTCCAAAGGGATAAACCAGTCAAAGAAACGGAACTTTTGCTGCATTCATCGGCAAAATCTTCCACCAATCCACGTATTGGTAGGCAAAAAAAATTGAACTTTGGCTACTCTTTGATTCAGCTTACAACCACAATCGCAGGTTGATATTGAACATGGGCCAAATTGTTCAGATAGGACACCCCCAGTAAAGCGTAAACTGGACGCCAATCCGTTTCTCTAACCAAAACGTTTTGGGTTTGTGCCACATGAAGCAAAAAATTTTGGTTTTTTGTTTATTACTCACGAATTATAAAAGATAGAAGACTAAATTTTCTACAATTACTTTTGGAAATGAGAAAAGTCGGTCATGCTCATATAAAGTGGTTAAATCTTTTTTTTCACTTTTTTGGGGATTTATGTTTATTAATCATAATCTCAGAATGTTTAAAATTATTTGGTACATTCCTCAAATGAAGATAAATTATCTACCAAAATTATAAAATAAATGTAGTGGACACAACGACGCAGTGGATCAGTTAATACCATTGATAAAGGAAGAGAGTAGGATGCGACGATCTAAGAACGTTAATTCTGCATTAATTACGGTGGACGTCAGGACGTAGAGGATTAAATTTTTCGAACAATACATTTTAGTAATCTAAAAGGGAAAAGATAAATTTTATAGAATTCACTTTTTTATTATCATAAGCAAAAGCGTGGGGTAACGGTGTTTTCTTTGAAATTACTAAATTTATTTTCTTACCCAAGCTTTTCGGCTTATGAGATATGTATATGTATATATATATATTTATATATGTTTTTTTTTCAATTTAATCATTGATTATCCTACCTTACTGTTGGAAACATTAGCCATTTGGAATAAATCTACTTAAACTACTATAAATCTACCGTTTTTATTTTTGTTAGACGTGTTTCCGTATAAAATCCGCGCGTTGATTGCTGCTGAGTCTAAAATGTTTCCAAAAATTCCAGAGGGAACGATCCCGCTTTCGTTATTATATTGGTACGCCATTTCATGACCTATATCCTCTTCATGCCACACATCATTTTAAA